TGACGACTTGCAAACACCCGAATTTATTCTGCTAATAGTTGAACTTCTCATGGAGTACGAGCCAAAACATCCACAAGCAGCGGACGTCTGCCACTCTCTCCTGAAAACGCTGGGTGAAAAGCTTGAGGGTACGACCGTTTATTTACTGAAACGACCAATGAATTGGCAGTTTAGTGCACAGTGAGAACAACAGCAGCCAGCCGCCTGCCACTTACCACACTATCGGAACAATAAATTTACTTTGCGAAATAGGTGCCCTAGATGGCTTGGAATCCGGTTGCTTCTTGAAGATAAATTTTTATAAGCTGATTCAGCCATGGAGTGACAGTTCCACAATTCGACATAGATTCGCTTGATGAATACAAAGATTTTTTAGTGAAGAGTAGAAGCTGGACTTAACATTCATTGCGAAAGTATTATATGGTCTTTATGAAGAGTCGTTCTGTTTGGTGGTGAGAGTTTTGCGTGATGTTTTGAATTTTGGACCTCTTTCGCGTCTTTTTTCATAATCCCATGGAGGTGCAGTGCACTCTCACACCCGAGGTACTGCTGACAACCTTCGCGGTGCTTTATGTTTCTGGTTTGGATCTGTGAGTTTGCAATCCCATGTCAGAGATTCAATTAAAGGTACCAGTTGGCGCCGCACGCGTTGCGCGCACAGCACAGTTCTGCGGCGTGAATTTTGAATTTGGCCCAATACACTTCGAATATTTGACTTTCAAGCTGAATTCTATCCGATTGCCCCATGCTTCATCCACCGATGGCTTTTGACCTTCCCTCCTTCCTCCACCAATTGTCCGTTTTTTCCGGCCTCGGACTGCCTCCGGACCGATTTATGAACCTCGTGGTAAACTCCGCCTATTTCTTTGCATGTCCCACCTATCTTTTTCTTCCTCGCCAACCTCTTCCCACTTTTTACCCGATCTCTGAACTATCTCTGAGCCGATTTATAATTTTTTGGCGGCGAATCCTGCTTTTTTGGTGTATCCTCCGCACACCATTAGAAATTCACTTCCTTTCCTTCGCCCACTTCTCTCCCGGTCTCCAGGACTTCTTGCAGCCGAGTCACAAAGTTTTGTGGAGAACTCCGCCCACTTTGGAAATGCCCCGCCCACCAATGCAGTTGGGCTCCACTCCTCCACCCACCTCTATCCACCTTTTCCCCGGTCTCCGGGACTTCTTGGAACCGAGTTATGAATTTCCGTCGCAAACTCCGCCCACTTTGGTGTACGCTCTACCCACCAATAGCAGCTGTCCTCCCGTGCGTTGTCGGACTCGACCCACTCTTTTCCCGGTCTCCTGGACTTCTCGGAACTAAATTATAAGTTTAGGGCAAACTCCGCCCACGTTGGTGCACGCCCCACCCACCAATAGCAGTTGACCTCCTTCCGTTGACGAACTCAATTCACTTTTTTCCCGGTCTCCAGGACTTCTTGGAACCGAGTTATGAATTTTCGTCGCAAACTCCGCCCACTTTGGTCATGCCCCGCCCACCATGACAGTTGGCCTCCACTCCTCCACCCACCTCTATCCACCTTTTTCCCGGTCCTCCGGGACTTCTTGGAGCCGAGTTATGAATTTTCGTCGCAAAATT